TTACTTCTATCTGATTTGATCTTCGTATAAATTTAGTCACTTTCCTGAAAATGACGGATGGAGTTAGTGGCGATCAATTTTTACTTTATTATTCTATGTGTAAGTAAAAAATTTGATCAAGTTTAATGAGACAGGGGGAGTTTTAGAATTGATTACTTATTTTGATAAGTAATTAATCATAAATTATTTGGACATGCGTATATGTTTTCTTTATTTAAAAAATCAGCCTTTTTTATTGTTGTAGGTCCAAACTCCGATTATTACAAAAGTAGGGGGTTTGACCCCTCCAGATTCAATTTTAATGGTCCTTTGTGACGTGCTTCTTTTCATGACATAAATAGTTATGAACAAAACCAAATGTTTTGTTCATACAGTTTGTTTATAGAAGGGTCTGCATTTTGAGGAGTTTGTGTTACTCTCTCATAGACCTGTAGTTGGACTACATCAGATTCGCCCCTTGATGTAACTAAATCAATTCTAATGCCATTGGCTTATTTGGCTCACATTATGAGGGTTTGCTTCCAAGTATTACTCGGTATGTGTGTTTGTGTACGTGTTCTAGCTAGAATATCTCAAAGGTTCAAAGGAATCTAAGTGAGAATGGATCTACAATAGCTTCCTTGCTCTTCCCTCACATGTGTATTTGTTATATATATATATCCATATGCTTGGTAAACATAATTACGGTTTTGAAATCGGAACATATCTGATGGGTTTTGGAGTCACGACTCTTTCTTAGTTTAATAAACGAAAGCAAAATTGGGTCAAATGTGGTATATTTTCCCCCAAAACGATCAGTCCAATTCAAATTCGGCTTTATTAATGCTAAAACTGATTAATACGGAGTATTAAGTTGCGCTCGTGTTACACAACTCACAAGCACTATTTGGATTGGTACATAAGACTCATTTAATTCTAAAGGTTAAACAATTTCTGTTAATGATTAGTTTCATAACTTTTAATGAAAAACGGGAACATCCATTAAAAAATTTGGTCGGTTTTTCTTAATCCAATTTCTCTATCGAGGAGACACATAGTCCAATATAAAAAGAATAAAAATTCAAATGTATTGAAGTTCTATCACACATAGTGATAAAAAGTTCTATCATACAGAGTGTGTTTTAGAAAATGTATACCATTAGTGGTGTTATTAGAATAAATGAATTTAAACATCTACAACATTATACACACACATACAGTATCCGTGGATTTTTAATTATGAATTGCATCCCGTGCAACGCACGGGTGAAAATCTAGTAATGTTTAATACGAAGTACTTCACACGGAAAGTCAAAAAGTTGCGTTAAAAAATTAAACTAAACGCGTAGCCTCACTCCTCGGAGATGCTATTCTAAATTGTAACAAACCACTCGTGCAAAGAATAATATTACTACGTATTGCGTAGTATATATTCTTATCGATGGAAGTGGTCTTAGTGTCACTCCACCTTGTCTCGTTACAAAGCCCAACTTGATACGTAGTGGATGCTAATGTTCATCCAATTTGCAAAAACTGTTGACTTATTCTTTTTTGAAAAAATGCAGAAACTGTTGACTTAATAGCTTTTGTTTCTCTTTCAAAAAAACAAAAGCTTTTGTTTCAAAATAGTCTACTGAAAACCTATGTTATGATGCTTCTTAGGCAAGAATTGTTTGATGCTTCTTAGGCCAGAATATTAAGAGGTTTCGATTGCAAACAAGACTTGAAAGAGTTGACACGGACACATGCTTTATGGTCTTTGGATTCAATTGATGAGCTATATTGTAGGAATGGAGGCTGGGAGCTTCATGCGAACGGTACTCCCGTAAAAGATTACTTTTTACTCCCTCCGTCCCGGAAAGTTGTTTCCGATTAACTTGGATCAGAGTTCAACCCAGGTTTAAACCAAATGTTGTATAAGACATCTAGTATATACATACTTCTTAGATAAGAAAATGACAAGACCGTCTATTTTCCCAATATTGTAAAGTGGATCCATGGGAGTTAAGTGAACTTGAAGTTTCACAATGTGAGTTAATAATATTAAACTTGATCTCAAGAGATGCTCTCTTGAAATGTCTACATGTAATGAGTGGTATAAGACCACTTTGCCGGCTTCTATAAAATATAGTGAAGAACATAAAGTAACCCACAAAATATATCTAGCTAGCATTATAAGATGAATGTTTTGCATGAGATAAATTGCTAGAAAGTTGCCCAAATATATGAAGAAAATGTAGTTTATATTAGTTCGGCATTTGTTAATAACTAACCCCCAATGTGCCAAAATGAGCCAAAATATGTGCCAATATTGAAACCCCACTATAGAAATGATGTACTTAGACCTCGGAAGTGGTTCCATATGCACGTAAATCCTTGTTCAAAAACATTATGTCACATTTTCCGACTTTAGGGGGAGATATAATGGCACAAGCATAAATATATTATGGTTGGAATGTCGGGAAAATATCCCAGAAGGATTGAACGAAATGAAAAGAGAAACGTGTAAAGTATGATAAGTAAACTGCCAAAGTGATTGAAATAAGTGATTGCAAAGTTTGAGCTCAACCAATGCATGAAACATGGTTAGACGGCCATTATGAGTATATAAAATAAAACCGATTTTTATTACGGTAAGTCACTACAAGAGAATGATATAAGTTAAATGCTGCAGCTGATAATTTATATGATACAGAACATGAATTCCTCTATTATGGCTCATATAGAGGACTTTGATGAAATAGGAATCATAGTTTTTATATTGACGTCAATGATTTATTTTTCCAAGACTATCGATTCATAATCCATAATAATTAAGTCTGGCCAGACGAAATATGATGGACCTGCAGTCCTAAAATTTTGTGAATTATGATCGATGTTTATGGATGAGAAGATATTTTATATTGGGCCTGAAGTCCCATAAATCAAGATATTGTGCACGTGGGGTGACAATACTTGAGCTTGAATGATTTTGAGACTACATTCCTGATATAGTTTAAGTTCTGTAAATGTGGCAGTTGATGAGTGATGGAGTATATGGACTCCGACCCCCCGGTCTGCCGACTATTGGGCATGGACAACGGTTCACGTACACCAGTAGACAACATTTATATTATTGTATAGTTTACGTATTCATTGCATGTACTAGATTAGCTTTTTATACTATCAATCCATTTATGTAATCGGGTCTGTCAGGCCCATATTAGAGGTCCAAACCCGGATTTCCCTATATATACTCCTTATAGGAGGCTTGTAAACATAACTCATAGTTCATACACAATACACATTAGCTCTTTCTCCATATTCTTTGTTCAAGCTCTCCTTAATTATAAATATGGGTATCGATTATCCATCAAATGGTGCTTTCATTGAGAGGTTTGAACACATTATCTCTTTCATTGAGTGGGGGACTCCTGATGGAGTATATGGACTCCGATCCCCCGGTTTGCCGACTATTGGGCATGGATAGCGGTTCACGTACACCAGCAGACAACATTTATATTATTGTATAGTTTACGTATTCATTGCATGTACTAGATTAGCTTTTTATACTATCAATCCATTTATGTAATCGGGTCTGTCAGGCCCATATTAGAGGTCCAAACCCGGATTTCCCTATATATACTCCTTATAGGAGGCTTGTAAACATAACTCATAGTTCATACACAATACACATTATCTCTTTCTCCATATTCTTTGTTCAAGCTCTCCTTAATTATACAATATGTGTATCGATTATCCATCATGAGAAAAATGGATGTCATTGCTATAATATCAACTGTGTGTCCCTGAAGGACAATGATGAAAAGAAATATGTGCACACAACATGCAACATGAATACGAATTCCTTTATGTCTACAATAATTAGATAAAGACATTATGTCTTATGTTATACGTAGTAGTAATTATATTTGAAATTATTCTTGAGAAAGATTTTGAATTTGATTGAATAACTGCAACAATAAGAAATGCAATAAATTGTAAGCATAACTCATAGTTCATACACAATACACATTATCTCTTTCTCCACATTGAAATCATTTTTTGAAATTGAATGCATTTTTTTATATATATTTTGACGCAGTCAACTTCAAAAAATGATTTAAATGCCTTCCCGATCGAATTTTGAGCTGAAATTTGGTATGGACAAACTAGACTTGATGAGAAACATGCTCAAAACATTTCATCAAAAATTTCCACCGGGAAGTAGCCCAAACGTCCATGTTCGGACGGTGTTCGGACGGGGAATGTTCGGACGTGAACATTCCTCTCTCTCTCTCTATAATATATATACATACATACATACATATATATATATATATGTGTGTGTGTGTGTGTGTGTGTGTGTATATATATATGCTATGTGTAAATGAAATGATAGCTTTTGGCCTTGACTTACAACGAGTACAAAATTATTAATAAAAATGAATTGCGTTTATCAGTAATTATATTTGTAATTACTTGTAATTATGGATTTGTACTCTTGCCACAAGGCATCATGGAGGATTTTTTCACATAAGTTCAACTAAAAGCTCGTTTTGTAATCACGTGTTTCGCCATATTAGGTTTATCTATCAAGTTCTACTTTTTGATTTCGCGCGTTAAATTGCGTAATAATGAGAAAAATGAGGTTGAAGTTATTTTCTGACTGTATTGACTGAAGTTACCGTAAATAATCATTTTAGCCATTTGTTCATATAATTTTTCTTTATAGAGTCTTAATCACGTTACTATTGACATTGACATTTTTTATACTTGAGTTTTGATTTTTTCAATTTTAGTAGTCGACTATTGTACTAGGGACACTTCTAGGCTTCTAGTCATTGGTTTAAAGTTTTCTACATTTAATCTCTTGAGTGTTATCACCTTTAGTCCTTTCAGTATGATTTTGACACAATCAGTGAATGACTAAAAATGTCGATTTTATAATAGATGAATGACATAATAATTGAGGACTCATAAATCAGCACAATTTAGCTACTTCAACCAAAACTTCATAAAATTCAACAGAATAACTCATTCAACCACTTCGATCAAAACTTCATAAATTTCAACCAACATAATCAATTTGAGTATTATCAAATTGCGCTCTAAGTTCTATTGATTTTCCAGCAGAATCCAGTCATCCACAAGAGATTTTTTTCAAGCAAGATGGAAAAAAGACCATAGCTTTTTTCTTCTAATAATAATACTACCTCCGTTCTCTTTTAATTGCAACATTGGACTTTTTGCACTATTCACATATTCTACTTTGACTATATTTTATTTATTAATGTATTATACATTAAATTTTTTAAAAATATTTTTAAATTCTTCTCATTCTAAAGTTTCAGAATATGATTTTTTTTAATTTTTCACTAATATGGAATGAAAGATATTAATGGTCAAACTCGTGCGTTGGCAAACGTGAAAAGTTGACTGTTGCAATTAAAAAGGAACGGAGGAAGTATATACAATGCCATACAATATAGTGAATATACAAAGAGTATAGCCTAGAATAAACATTGGAATTGAAGAGAATCATCGCTGTTCGCCCTCAACCTCCATGAGATCTACCGACAAGCGATGCCAGAGGAGAATTTGCTGGAGAAGAGAGGCAAGAAACAGCCGATGAATATGATGTTCTTACAGCATTTGCAGAAGATGACGAAGAGCAGCAGGATGAAGAACACGAAGGAGGAGAGATCAGTCCAACCAGCAAATCCATAAATGCTCTGACTATAACCCCATGATTCATCTTCGAATTCATCTTCAAATACCATCCCAGAAGCTCCTGCAATGAATCCCAATCGTTGATTCCGCTGCTCTCCACCATTTCCGCCATTGATTTCTTGAAGTCAAGGTATGGGTCGTCGGAATCCATGGATACCATCACACTCTCTTCGAACGGAGGACCCACTTCTCCAGCATCTTTTTCCTCTTCTCTCTGTTTTTCAACATTTTCTTGATTTTCCGGCGAGGGTTCCGGCTTGGCTATGGAGGAGCTGGTACCGCTGCGGTCGAAGAACAGACGGTCCGACCTCACTCCGGTGATAATGATCTGCTCGTCGTCGGACTCCGCCGAGAAGCTAGCGGATTCTGAGGTGCTGTTGGTGAACCATGACTCCGGCGTCTCGACGCCGTCGGAGGGGTCGAGGTAGACGGAGTTGACGGTCTTGAACATGGCGTCTCCGCCGGAGACGGCGGCGTTGGAGCGAAAAGACAGAGTCTTTGCGTTGGTGCAGGAATTCCATTGCCAGGAATTGAGATTCTCTTCCCCTTCTCTGTTCTTGTTGAAAACGGAAGGGAGTATATGGAGCTTCATCATCTTCTTCTTAGCCATCGATCGGAGATGGAGATTTTCCGGCTGAATTATAGATTGATTCTTTAAGGGTCTGTTTGGTTTGAGAGAAGTGTTTGATTTGATGAGATTTTTTTGTTGGTTGGTTTGGAAGGAGCTGAGCTAGGATGATTGTATTAATGGTGATCAGATAGAATGGCAGGTGGGAGGGGGTGTTATAAAGCAGAGGCGGTGAAGTGGAAGTGGAACCAAAAAATTTAAAGCGAAATTATTTATTTTGCCAAAAAAGCGAAATTATTTATTGAATAAAATTTGTGTGGCGTACGGAGGAATATTTAATGATGTGAAAAAGATATTTTTATTTGGATCCAAATCTCGTCTGGAATATATTATAGTCCAAGTAAAAACATCCAAATTCGGTTAACAACCTAACCGAATTTTAGCCTATTGGTCAGTGGAGTAATTAGAGGTTGATAATATTTCAGTTTGGATTTTGGAAGCTAGCCAACTTTTGAAATTTAAGAAATAAATTTAGAAAATTGAATTACGTACTCATAATACGGATAAATATAATACAAGTATATGTTTAATTCTAATACTACCTCCATCCCAAAAAGAGTTGCAAATTTGACTTTTCTTAGTCAAACAGTCTCGTTTTGTACACTTAATTAGGATGTCAATTTTTAATTATTTTCTAATTTGATGTTTACAACTTTGAAGAGATTTTAATGTAGTTTTTGAATATGTAAATTTTAATTATTAAAAATTGAATTAATTATGCGTAGGAAGAGTTGACTTTTATTATTGGTTGACCAAAAAATGTTGACTTTGCAAAACAAATTGGGACGGAGGGAGTAATAGAATAAAATAGTTACAGATGTAAGAAGATGATCTTTTTGAGAAGATGGTATTCCCATTAGAGGAAATGTATTGTGTATAGATAATTTAGATAGTTAAAAAATTGTAAAGGTTTGACAGAGTTCTTGTGATACTCAAGGTGAGACAACCGTGAGAAAACATTTTTCGAAAAAGTATCATGGGAACATTAGCTACAATCGCGTAAAGGCAATTTGGTTACATGTAAAGCGTACTAGTTCAAGTATCTTTATATATTTAGTAAAATTGTTGGGTATTGGATGAATTCATTAAATATTTTGATTTAAAGAAAAAATATTTTAGAATATATTTTGTTAATACTATAAAGAGAAAAAACTAGAATAAAAACTAAATTTATTACCATCATCATCAATTTCATTAATGTCATAAAAAGTCTTCAATCTACTTTTTTGCAACTGCTTTTAAAAAATCACTTCTCAGCTTTTGGCTTTAAAAAAGCACTTATTTTCCCAAACACTACAACTTTTATTTTTCTCGGCTTCCGCGTCAAAAGTGCTTTTACTTTTTCTATTACACAAAAAACACTTATTTTACCAAACACTACCCACTTTTACTTTTCAAAATCACTTTTTTCTCAAACACTATCAACTTTTATTTAATCACTTCTCCCCATTTCATTAAAAAAAGCACTTTTTAAAAGAAAAAGCTGTTGCAAACAGACCCTAAGAATCTTGTGCACCACGTCCATGAAAATAGAAATAATCAGAATATACATTACTAAAATAAAGATAATGGATAGAATGTGACATTATATATATATATATATATATAATGTCACATATATATATATATATATAATGTCACATTCATTATATATATACATTATTTTAGTAATGTATATTCTGATTATTTCTATTTTCATGGACGTGGTGCACAAGACTCTTAGGGTCTGTTTGCAACAGCTTTATATATATATATATATATATATATATATATATATATATATATAAAGATAAAGATTAAAATAAAGATAATGGATAGAATGTGACATTTTATATATTTTATACATATACGGAGTAATGACTATATTAGTAATTTATTATATTAGTAATTTATAATAACTACTACAGTTATCATGATTATGCATAATTTTAATTTACATTACCATGATGTTACACTCATAGTAAACTTATAAACATTTTTATCTATTAATTTATGTTCAATAACATTTAGAAAAACACAATAAAAATGTAATTGATAAGACTGATACATAAAAAGGAAATCAAATAAATATTTAATATTACTGGCATTGTTAGTAATTAATGACTACTGATTTTTAAACTAAAGTATTGTGATTCTAGATGTTACTCAAAACTATCAAATTCTTTTGTATGGTTATTAACAAAACGAATCAAATGAAACATATAAACTTTTAATTTGATAGTAAACGGAGTAACTTTATAAAACTTAAAAAGGATTTTTTTATAGTATAAAAAGATCATTTGATAATATCAATGAACAATTACATAAATCTCTACACTAGCAAAAAGCAAAAGCAAGCCGGCCATATGGTGTAAGTCTTCCATTCAAATCAACTGTCATAAAAAGTTACTATATAAAAATTCATATGACTTCTGCAAAAGAAAGTCTAGAGCCTTAACTTATTCGCTATGTGTGATCTTGTGATTAAAGATTAATTTATCGACATTGAGGGCTCTGAGATGCCATCCTTTATTTACACTAGCAAAAGCATCAAATAAGTATGCCTATCCTAAAAATAATCAGGCATCACTTTTATCAGTTTTAACCTCCTATATATAGCATGTAAGTTTTTGGAAAAATAAGAAAACTGAAAAATAGATGAAAAAGTTGAAAAAGTTAAAATCTTTCAATTAACTTCTTTGCGGTTTCTGAAATATTAGTAACTTTTACATTTTTGAAATTTATTAACATTCTTATTTTTTACTTTACATTTTAATTTATATTTTTCTTTTTTCAGTTATTGATTTTTTATTTGCTTTACCTTTTCTAGTTATTTATGTATTTTGGATTTTTTTAATCTTCTATACACCTATTATTCTTTTGTACTCCGTATTTACATTTCTATAAAAATTATTACTTTTTATAAATTTTATCAATTTGCTCATTGTTTTTTATAATATGACATGTTATAGAAAGTCAACCACTAGCTTTTAATATGCTATGTTTCATATGATATTTTTCTTTCATAGCGTGTCTAAAGTTTATATATTCCTAATCGTGGAGCCCTCAATCGAGTTTCTATGTTTATGTTTGGGGTGGCTTGTTTAATCCATACGTAGTATTTTCTAACCACCGCCTGTTTTAGAAAATTACGTAGTATTCAAGTGTTCTCTTTCTCATTGCTCGTTAAACCCTAAAAATAATTAAAATATACCAAACTTTGAAGGGGTGTGGGAAAACACACCAAACTTTCATATATAATTTAAATACTCCAAATTTTTTGTAAAAAATTATTTTTAACACCATGGGTCATGTAATATTTATTTAAAAATGTGAATTTATGGTGTTAAATTGCATAATTTAAAATATCAAATTGAAGATGTTGTAATTATATAGAGTGGGGGGATAATATTATATATTTTACAATGAAAGTTTAGAATGTTAATTGTATCTTTATGAATGCTAAAATATTTTAAATTGTGAAATTAACTCAAAAAATTAACATTTTTGAAAAATATAATACATAATCATGATGCTAAAATAACTTTTTATATAAAGTTTGATGTATTTAAATCACATATGCAAGTTTGGGGTGGTTACCTCACACCCCTTCAAAGTTTAAGATATTATTATTATTATTTTTCCCTGGTTAAACATAGGATGATTTTGACAAACATTTCTTAATAACACTTTGATTCATGTACACGCAGGCGTTTATGTACGCTCGTTTTTTAACTGTGAACATACAATTTCTCTATGTGTGTCATAACAAAATATTTTTATGTATGACACAGACAAAAAAATTACCTATTTTCAATTAAAAGGACGTCTACGAAAGGAAAAAATCTTACATATATACGTAGTAGTTATTGTAACTTCGTTCCACTATGGTATGGATAAGATGTTGCACACATCTGGCATTTTTTGTGTTTGACTCGTATCCTACATTTGCAATGATTTTTAATGTAATAATACGTGCTTAAAATTATCCAATACTACATAACTAATAAGGAAACTAATGTGACATAAGATCAGCTATATTTCATGACTAAATTGATAATAATGCATAATTTAGGATGTTTTTACTTGGACTGTAATTTGCCCCAGACCAGATCAGACCAGATCAGACCAGACCAGTCCAGACCAGACCAGTTCAGACCAGACCAGACCAGACTTGGATAGTTATAAAAATACAAAGAAACCAGACCAGACCAGACCAGACCAGACCAGTTCAGACCAGACCAGACCAGACCAGACCAGACCAGCAAATTACAGTCCAAGTAAAAACATCCTTAGAAATCATTTCAAACAGTACCAACTATTCCGATATAGGAAAAAGGTTGTAAAATTAAAGTTCTCCTTTATTTGATTTGTTTAAAAAATCTTACTTATTTTTATTTTTTGAAAAATCTGAACATTTCATATCTCTCAATCAAAATTGTGTATATTTTATTAGGCTTAATTATATTAATTAAAATGGATCAAATATAGCAATAAAATGTGATATTGAGAATAAGTACTTTTTCTCCAATTAATTTGTGTGACATAATTCAACTCTAAAAATGGAACATACCAATGGTATGTTTGGCACAAATACCTAAGAAGATACTTTTACGAGCTTTTTAGTAACTATTAGCTTTTAGTGACTGAAAAAGATCTTAAAAAGAAAATGTGATAGCTGTTTGGTAAAAAGCTGACTGTTTGATTTAGTTCGGTTTGGTATACAAGCTGTTAGGACTAATTAATACTAAAAGTCACGAGCTTTTCTCAGATGCTACACCCGGTATCATTTCAAAAAAAAGATCTTTTAATTTTTCAAAAGCTCTTAAAAATGTCATGTCAAACATACAACTAGAGTCTTTTAAGGTCTTTTTAAAGAATAGAGAAGCTAGAAGCTAGAGCCTTTTGTGTGCCAAACATAGCCCAAGTATCTCTACAACCTGATCCGAGGGGAGTGATTTCTGAGGTTATTAGTTAGTGATTCTTTTAATCAAGCTGTTAGAACTAATTTAGTTATTTTTTGAGAGCTTTTCAAAAGATAAAAGTTTTTTTAGATGCTACAGGGAGTAGCATATCAGAAAAGTGCGAATTTTAGTATTAATTAGTCCTAACAGCTTGTATATTAAATACAATTAAATCAAAGGGTCAACTTTTTAGCAAACAGCTGCAACCTTTTCCTTTTAGATCTTTTT